CCAGGATGGGAAACGCAGCAAGACACGCTCTCATTAATCTGAAATCAGAGTGGAGATCTACTACACTCAGCACAAACAACAAGATCCGGATTCTCAACACCGATGTCAAGTCAGTGCTTCTATGTCGCTCAGAAACTTGGCGCATCACGAAAAGCACTTCAAACAAACTACAGCCATTCATCAACAGCTGCCGCCTACGCTGGCTCGATACTGAAGACTAGATGAGATGGCCAGAATCATAAGAATAAGCAACAAGGAACTCACTCTGGCAACGAACCAAACAACCAGGAACCCCTCACCCAACAAATGTGCAGAAGAAAGTGTAGATGGATTGGTTTGGGCATACACTGAGAAGGCCGACTGGGGACATCACGTTCCAGGCCAGTCGCTCGAGTGGAATGAGAAGGGGAAACGACGAGTTGGGTGTCTGAGGTGAGGGTGATATGGAGGAGATGGTGTGAGGAAGAAATGAAATGTTGTGGGCAATCGTGGAGCGAGGTTGAAGAGACTGTAGAGAAGAGAGTGTAATGGAGGCGTGCTACTGAAGTCCTATATCCTACTAGGAACCCAAGGGATGATAATAATGATAATATTCTGCTTGATTTGAAGTATTCAATCAATATTGTCATTCTGCTTGCAGTCGTTAACGGGAACCAGGGGCTTGTGAACGCATCAGGCGGAAATCTTAGTATGTTTGGCATACTTTTTGCATCTGTGACATATAAGATGATGTTTCAGGAATGGTTTGTAACTACTGAAGATATAAAAAAGTAGAGTGAAGTGATGGATTGTGTTAACAACTTCACTTACTTGGGAAAGTATCAACCTGAAAGGGCTGGTTACAGACGACATCTCAACTCGGATACAGAAGATCGATTGGACATTTTCAAACTTGCATTATCTTTGGTACAGCATGAAAATAGATCATTTATCAAAGGAGGAGTATACTGCGCTACAATCCGCTTCCCTGTTGTATCAGTGTGTAAAATGGCGGATGAAGCTTTTTTTGGGTTTTGAGCATATGTCTTCGTAGCATTCTAAACGTTTGATGGAATCACCATGTGGGCAATATTGAGGTCAGGTGAAGAATACTAAGCAAATCAGGCGAGTCAATTGATGAGGTTGTGAATCATAGTCGACTGGGATGGCTTGAACATGCACTGCACATGCCGTACCATTACCTGTCTCGATGTGGCCTGAGTCGTGTTAGGAGTTATAGACTGCCCGGTTGGGATTGTTGAGACTATAAGAATCCGTGGTTGAGAACTCATGGCAGCATGGTTAAAAATCGGTGACAATGGCACTGATGTATTCACTCGTTCATATCTTCTAAAGCTAGACTACTGGCAATAAGCGTCATCTTCAAATTGCCTATTCTCTCACACCACCTTATTTACTTCTATACCACACTTTTTCTATCCTCCTGTCCTTTGTGTACTCCTATGAAGTGTCGCAAGTAAAACCAATACACTTGTGTGCGACGTTCTTTGTTGATTTTGTCTGCTTGTCAGTCAACTAATTGGTTAAAAATCTTCAGTCGTATCCGTTAGCTTACTCTTCTCCATTCGCTTATAATTATCACCACCTCATTGTACCTGGTGAACTCACTTACATCGTATTGCTTGTGTTGCCTCTGTATATATTTTATTTAGCAAAAATAAACTGTCCCTATAACAGCTTACAAACTAATGTACTAAATGACTAAAGAAATTGGTTGGAAGATGCTTCATATTATATTTTTAACGGCTTAAGCATTAAGCGCCTAATTAATTCTAAGTATACACCATCATTCTTTGCCAATCAGGACAAAAATCCAGTCCAGTTTAGTTTTCGTCACAGTAATTTTGGCTCATTTATGATGGTTGCCGTTGGAACATATCTGATTGTATATTCTCATGAGGAAGGCATTGCTGTATATCATTCGGTTGGAGGCAACTGGTTAGAGGCGCTCCTTGACCTAAGTTTCATTCTTGTTGTGACTCGTCAATAACCTCGAAGGAACTAATGTCCTGTGTGAGATTCTAACCCACGTCATTCACACACGTTACAACTTAGCTATACAGATAACAAGTGACCTCCTGTAAAACTGGAACAGATGCATCGAATGGTTACTGGAGGGTAGCGGGCTTCATGTTGTCTAGTCGCGAATGCTGACCGAATAGTATGCATCACTCCAAAGTAACCAATCAATGTATTTCGGTATCCAAAAACACCAGACTTTATTGTAGATCTCAACGACTATCCTTCAATACTACAGTATTTGATCTCAACACATAAGTGTCGCGAGGCCACTACATGAAGAGAAATTTGTCTGTCAGCTGAACAAACGACGAACAACGTGGCAATTGTTCTTACGTCCGTAATCCAGTTTTCTCTTCGACTAGTGTTGATCAGTGGTGATACATAAATAATGTTTAGTTGTACGTTGACTTTCTCTGAATACCAACTGTATATTCTTGTTCTTTACTGCCACTATTTTTGCAAATAAATTCTGCATGCTGTTAATCTAGTGTACAATCAGTTGTATGCATTCTATATATCATTATTTCAGAAACAGCTGACCAAATAGTAGAGTTGTCTGTATGTTGTGATTTGCCTGGTGTTTGGCTACTCGTGAAATAAAGGATACGTCATTCATCCAATTCTGGACTCTTCAGCTGCACGTATCTGCACTACACTGAGTGACTTTGTCCCCTCTAAGACTGGAACCTTTCGTGCAACCGATACTGGTTATTATTATACTGATTTATACTTGCAATTTCTTCTTATTATATGGGACTGGATTACTCAACCTCTATTAGGATACAGGTTCCAAAGTGTTTGAAGCAATGGTTCCTCGGTTCGAGTCCCGATGAGAATAACACTCAATGGAGTGCAGGTACATTCAGATGATGAGTTTCTACACACGACGAAAAACATGTCCTGTATTCAACTGCTAGTAACCACCAGTCAAATTACAGCAGTGAATAATTAGGCAATTACGAGCCATCCAGCTATCAATAGTTGTCGATCACTGTGGTCTAATAAAACAACTGGAAACCTAGTTATCAATAAATGATGAGTTTTACTCGCATTTTCGGGTAACCTATAGACTTTTTCATAGCTACAACGGTTGATGAACATTCCTTTTTTCAAAAGACAAATTAAAGCGTGAGTCTTGTAAGTTAGTTTTAATCTTGCATCTCAATCACGTGGTTGTATCAGTTCTGGAACAACACGGCCATGTATAATCCTGAGTCTCCGATTGGCTTTTGTGCATCTATGATCACGTGACAGGTGGTAGTTAGTTAGTATACAACACTAATATAGAAAACATTTATGACAAAGAAGGAACTATAAGGCACTCTATACTATCAAACGATTTCAAGGATCAAATTTTATCATAGTGAAACAAACATTCATATGATCAATTGGTTTTCAGACGAAATGAGTCTCAAGGGAGTATGAGAATATCTACTATTGTTCAGCCATTAATTGCAGATTGTTGAAAATCCAGGAGTGATAAATGTGGAAAAGTAAAGTCCATTTGTCTCAATGGATTCGAATAACAAATAGATTTTGTAAATTTTGTACATTTTTGAATTACATTTAATAAAGGAACTATATTACCATTCCTAAAAGTTTCTTTCGATATACGTTCAACGTTTTCCAGTTATTCAAATGTAATACAACTTTTATTATCAAATCATCGACAGCCATAAATCGTATACATCTCAACTGCACTGACTGATCACTGGACGGTAACCGACTGCATGATATTGAGCCATGAACACTGACCGAACTTTATCCATCATTTTTTAACTATGGTCCCTAAGCTAGGAGACAACTCTTCTTCATGGTGCAGTTTGATCAGTGTTAGTTAGTAATCGGAAGGAGGCCTTTCACTGGTGCACACCAACAAGGCGTATCTGCAACTTCAAAAGAAGTGATGTCTCCTGTGAGATTAAAAAATAATGACAAAATCGAAATGGAAGGACAAGTGTCCTGCAGTGTAATCCATTCTGTTCTGCTATACGGCTATGAAACATAGCCGTTAAAAGTAGGACGGATGAGGTGGTCACGTGTTTCTGAGCACAAGTGTCAAATAAGCATTGCATTCGTATGCTGGAATCACAATGTGCGGTGAAGAGTACTAAGCAAAGAAGCCAAACAATTCACTTAGGCCGTGAAGCTTTGTAGAGTTAGGTGACTTGGATATATGCTGTGCATGCAAGCCACCACATATCTCGATATGAAATACTGGAAGAAGTTGGATTAGGTTGTAGTATGGCTTACGGTGGCCAGACTAAATGGTGGCACCAATCGACGAACCCTCTGACTGTAAGTCGAAGCTGCTTAAGGGGGTGTAGACTATCTATCTGGAATTCTCAACGCGATAAGCATCAAAGTTTAAGGACTTTTGATGCCATGGCTGAAAATAGGTCACAGTGACGCAAGTACACTCACTCTGTGACTTCATATAAGGCATGAATATTTCACTAACCTTCATTTTCTAATTGCTTCTCCTACCATACCTCTTCGTCTACTTTCGTATCAGTCTTTTTGAATTCACTTGTTCTTTGTATGGTACTGTGAAGTGTGACAATTTGTACCGGTTCAGTTAGGTGTGCGGTTCTACGTTGATTTTGTCTGTCTGTCTTTCTGTGTGTGTATCTATCTGTCTGTCTGTCCATCTATCCGTATGTTTTCCTTTCTGTTTGTCTGTCTGTCTATTTTAGCTAGCGTCAACATTACATTTTTTGATCTGTGTCGCCAACAACTAAACGACTCTACAGTATTGAAACTCTGTTTTTTAACTGAAAACTCCGTTTATTTGTATATACGTTCAAAGAACACTAGGTTAATACACAGTTTGAATACATTCGAGTGCCATGGTTAGTATGATACTAATGTATGTAGGATAGTAATACTTTATTGTCATATAATTCCAAAAATTTCCTCTATCAAAGTAACAGTAATCGTTTCTTTTTGTTGTCGTTAAAAAACTGAATTCCTTATAGACTATATCACCAACGAATGTCAAACTAATCGATGCATATCTTATGAAAGGACCCTCTGGATTCGGTTTAACATTGATTGGAGTAATCACTTTTATACCGAGTGGATTATTAGATTTTGGTATTGTCACCAATTCCTTCAATGGGCAAAATGGTTTCTTCCAACGTCTACTACAAATACAAAGTGTAAGCGATGACTTAATCATATATGCTAATGACTTCATGCAATCATATACTAAACAACAATCTATCCGTCAAGGTGATATACTACTTGCAGCTGGTGGGCATCGTTTGGCCGGTTGTACTCCAGAATATGCGGTACAATTGTTGTCAAGAATTCCATATGGTGGTGTAATTCACATCACTTTACTCAGAGGATTAAGTATTCCTATGAATCAGAGTGTAAATGAAAATGTGAACGATGCAAAATATCAATCACATGAAGCAAGATCATCCAGTTTATGCTCTTCAGTGAATAGTTCCATTGAATTATCACCGAATAAAACAAATTCAGATAGTGATGTTCAAAACAGGCAAAGGTTTTCACAATCATATTTGAATAGTGTAAGTGTATTCTCTGATTTATTATTCAATGTTCCATTTATTCTGCATCTCATTTATGACTAAACTGCTTCGGTACTTGAGATGATTAAATCGAAATATAATAAGGCTAGTTATTGATGAAAAGATATGATCTTAGCGAGTGCTATTAAGATGTTTGACTTTTTGAGAATTTTTATTTATCTTACGCAGATCAGTAACACAAAGCATCAAGATATATCACTAGGAAGAACGATGATAAGCTTGTTATTATTATTTTATTATTTTTCCCTTGGGTTCCTAGTGGGATATAGGACTTCAGTAGCACGCCTCCATTACACTCTCTTCTCTACAGTCTCTTCAACCTCGCTCCACGATTGCCCACAACATTTCATTTCTTCCTCACACCATCTCCTCCATATCACCCTCACCTCAGACACCCAACTCGTCGTTTCCCCTTCTCATTCCACTCGAGCGACTGGCCTGGAACGTGATGTCCCCAGTCGGCCTTCTCAGTGTATGCCCAAACCAATCCATCTACACTTTCTTCTGCACATTTGTTGGGTGAGGGGTTCCTGGTTGTTTGGTTCGTTGCCAGAGTGAGTTCCTTGTTGCTTATTCTTATGATTCTGGCCATCTCATCTAGTCTTCAGTATCGAGCCAGCGTAGGCGGCAGCTGTTGATGAATGGCTGTAGTTTGTTTGAAGTGCTTTTCGTGATGCGCCAAGTTTCTGAGCGACATAGAAGCACTGACTTGACATCGGTGTTGAGAATCCGGATCTTGTTGTTTGTGCTGAGTGTAGTAGATCTCCACTCTGATTTCAGATTAATGAGAGCGTGTCTTGCTGCGTTTCCCATCCTGGTTTTGATACTCTCGTCTATTCGTGTACCGCCTGTAGTTGAAACGATGCTGCCTGCCTAGGTAGTTGTAGGTGAAAGAGACAACTTCGTTTAGGTTTGTCCCGTTAATGTTGGTTGGTGCCTCTTGTTGGTGATGCAGTTGTCGCCTCTGTCTTCCCTATATTCACTTGAAGTCATGTTTTCGCTGCCTCTTCTGTCAACTTGTCAGTTTTCGCCTGTGGATCTTCGAGTTTGTGAGACAGGGCATTAAATATAAGTGATCATCCGCGAAATCGAAATCTTCTAGGGTCCTCTCATCGGTCAAGTAGCATATGCCTATCTTCTCACTGCTCACGGTTTGCTGAATGATCCATATTCTGGACCGGAATGAGTTATATATCATTAGAAGTGATCATCGAAATTGCCATTTTCCAGCATACTCCATTTTTCCCACTTCTAATGAATTTCGACGCCAACCTTTCTTCGAATTACCAGTGGTGTCATCTATTGTTGAATAACGTTTTGAACAAAATTTATTGCCAATATGTCCATAAGGTTATCCATTAAACCAAATACTGTTTCAGTCTGTGATACATTCAGTAAACAAACTCTAAGTAGAATATAAAGTTTGGCAGTTTTTATAACCTATAATATATTTGGATGTTTTTCGAGATGCTACTTCTTTACTCAATCATCCTACGCCAACAACCTTCAAACTCTCAGATGAGTGCAACGCTAAAGAAGTAGAATTGGACTGGTCAAAGAGAGAGCTTCACTGTGTGGATAAACGACAGTCATAGTTGTTCGCACATGTGTATAGGATGTTCGATCTTTGATAAATGTTAATTAGACAGTAGCAATCGGCAGAAGCCCACGTCCAACAGGTTTCGTGTATGTTGGCACTCAGCAGTAAGGCTCATCTGCAACCTCGATGAAAATGATATCTCCCCATCAGCCACTGTTGTAGACAGTGAGATTACTTGTGGCCTGTTCAGGTCACCACTCATTGGTCGCTGGAGCAGAACTAATCTGACCATTTGCCTACAACGTGTTACCCATTTATATACAAATTTTGCTTATATCGCTGTTCAGTGGGGTGAAGAACGATTCTGAGACAGGAAAATTCAAAATGATGGGTTCGATCCCTAGTTCTGTCACAAATATGAATCTACAAATCCAGTTAGATTAAAATAGAATGAATATTACACCTTGATTACTGCTTTTAATCCAATCATAATTAGTACGTAATGTTTTTTCTAGTATTATCCTGTCGCTGAGTGGACCGAATTAATCAGTCTCGATTAGAATACGGGCTCCTTCACGGATGCCTCAATAGTGCCTGTTTTTTTGGTTTGTATATTAATGATTGATAGTGGCTAACAGCGGAATTTAGGACGTTCCCTCCTTCCTATTTAGGACTTTAGCAGTGCCCAAATGCCAATAGAGACCGATTAATTAGGTTCACTCAGCGATGGGATCATACAAGTAACAACATTAAAACTGCACCCGTCACACATGAAGTGGCTATCGTAGCTCGGTGGTCTAGTGGATAAATCAGATGAATCAGTTGGTTTCAAGTTCAAGTCGAAGTGAGGAGAACATCGCTCACTGGTAGGTGGGTACACCCAGCTGACGAGTCCCTAATAGGATGAGAGGTGCTTCATGGTTTCCGTTGCTGGCCACTGTCCATCATTAATGTAAACAGTATTTATACATTCAGTAGAAATGAAGCAGGTTGTCCAGATCTCGCTGAAAACAGGAAGCACACGGGAAAGGAAGTATTTAGGCTGGTGTAACTCAAATGAAATGCAATGAGAACAAGTTCAATGTGAAGCGAAATCTTCCCATCTACTACCGTAAACTGCTAATTCTACTAGAGATGGATAGATAACATCAGCGGTCAGTTCTGTCTCTCCCCATATCAGAAAATCAACCAGATTTAAGATAAAAAAAAATAAAGAAAGTAGTCAAAAGTAGTAAAATTCTAAGAAAAGTTCGATTAGTTTGATAAAAAAACTCAGTGACCATACCAAGACATGAAACCAGTCCATGAAGTCTCTAGCTGCTGATCTAAGCCGTCTGGGAAGGTGTAGACCATCCGAGTGGTGTACCTGTGACCATAGGAATCAGTGGTTGAAGACTCTTGGTGGCATGACCGAAGATTGGTCGCCAGTGTATTCACTCTTTGATATCCTCTAAAGCGTGAATATTTCTACTGATCTTTTTCTTCAGATTATTCATTTTATATTCGCTTTTGTCTACTCTGATTTGAACCTTTTGCCAAACACTTGTTCTTTGCATGCTACTCTGAAGTGTGACAAGTTGAACTGATGTACTTGTGTATGACGCTCTACGTGGATTTCGCCTGTCTTTCTATCAAAAAGATGTGTTCTGTCAGTAAAGCTTGTCCAGATAGAGATGAGAAGGTTTAACAAGAACTTCTGGATGGCAGTTGTTTATAGAGTGGTGCTGAATGTCTATTGTGAAAGAGATGAGATTAAGATTTTCGTACTTGACCTTCATAACTCCTAATAATTTGTTTGTCACTTGTTCCAGCTTTGTGATGTTACCCTCACTATCCTTTTTTGTAACTTCAGTTTTGTGCTACTTAAGATTATTAAGTAGTATAACTCGTGTTTTCGAATGATGTTATTTTATTCATAACTTGACTGTTCATTCTATTCAATCGTGTCTTGTTCTTCTTTTAACATCACTAGATATCAGTACCCTTCCTAGTTCATGACAGTGCTGGAATCCTTTTTGTTCTCCCCTGATGTTCTTTTTCACCTTGAACATCTGTTAATCTCGTGTCTGTGCCTCCTCGCAGGAGACTCACATCTTTTATCCTCCTGATTTGCATTTGATAGAGCCTTACCGTTTCTACTGTTGACACACTTTTTTAAAGGTGCTTTAATAGCGAAAACCTACGGATATTTCACGATTCAGGATTTGTACTTTATAAGTTACTATTGTCTTCCAAAACAGATAGTATGTTTTGAATGTTAGGCGTAACAAGAGTGTTTGGTTTATGGTTGATGAATCACTTCGCTTCCAAATTTCTTGGAAAGAAATTCACACTTTTCATCATTGTCTTGTTGTCGAGCTTGCCACATGTCACATCGACACACCAAGTGAAACGAACCAAGATAAAAGATAAGAGTAGGAGGAAGAAAGTAGTCAAAAGTGCTAGGAATTCATCGAAGGGAAGCAAGGATGAATGAGAGAGAGCACTCCAGTTCAATCTAATGATAGGAATGAAGATAATTTGTCGATACATCTGCTCCACTGAGATCGATTATGAGCCGCGTCAGTAAGGGTAACCAGTCACGGATTTCGTTTGTCCTGGGAACCCCGACCGAGAGTCTACATTGACTTATACGGCTCAAACTAATTGTCAAAGATTTTATCGGTTCATGCCATATCTCAGTTTGGTCACCTCTTACCTTTTCTAGGCTCGAAATAATTCAGCCAGCATTACAGGAGGGTGTAGATGGTGATAGGGAATGCACAAGATGTGTCACAGTCACCTGAGTCGATGTCGTCGACTCGCTTTTTTTCTACCACAAACTCTACGCCTGACTCCTGAGTTACTGATGTCGTGATACCACAATTCGTGGCCTATTCTATAAAGACAGTGATGGTCGAACATTTGGAGCCTCTTCATATCCTTTGCCTTTAGCGATTTTCTAAGTGATTTCAGCCTACCAATAAATCCCACAAACCTTCAAATTGAATATTATGTCCATATTACACAGACACACTAGAACAAGGAAGATTGGAGATGAGAATATTTTCCTTGGTAAATGCAATAGGGTGGACGACAAATTTCTACCATCATGATTTCAACGAACTTAAACCAGGTTAAAGTTGCCTTCGTGTATACGGCACTTCAAAATGGAAGCAAATACCTGGGCAGCTGTTTCGCAAATTAATGTTTCCAAGCGTCTTTATAACAACTGAAATACTTAACTACATAACTTGTATGTAAACAAATCAGTTACTCATAACTTAAAAGTAGTATAATTTTCATTTGAGATAAGTTTACAATATATTTTATCCAACAATATTGACCAAAAATCAGTGAATAAGTTATTCTAATTAAAGAGCCAGAGTCTTGTTGAAACATCGTTTCAAATGCCTTGGAACAGGCGTCCGAAAGCTTCTACATACATAGCAATGAACTT